GGGCACACACCGGGTCGCAGCGCGGACTCGCGGCTTTCTCCCTCGCAGAACCGGCGCCCGGCCCCAGCGCGCAGCTGGAAGCCGAGCTTTTGAGCGGCTGGTGGTGTCACTGCCTATACGGCCGTCAGGGGGCGCCAGTGCCGCTGGCGGGCGACCCGCCGCGCGTGCTCTGCCCCGCCTACCAGGAGGAGGAGGAGGCGGGCCGCTGCTGGGTGAGGGTGGGGGCGGGGCCTGAGGCGCTGGGACGAGGGCGTGGGGCTCCGGGCGGGGCCGGGGCGGGGGCCGGCGGGAGTGGAGCCTGGCCCCGGAGGACTGAGCAGGTGTAGAGAGGATCCTACCGGGCGTGGTGGCGCGCGCCTGGAATCCCAGCGTTATGGAGGCTGAGGCAGGAGGATCCTTGCGTGTTCGAGACCAGCCTGGGCTACAAAGTGAGCTCAAGGCCAGCCTGAACTGCCTAGCGACAGCCTGTCTCAAAAAGACAAAAAAAAAAAAGGATCCTAAAGTGGGGCCTGACTTCTTACAAACACTAGTACGTGGCCGGTGGCGCGTGATGTCTGCACACAAAAAACCTGGAGTCCAAGAAAGGCCAGGCTTAGGCCAGTGACGCACACATCCTCCTGCTGCAGAATGACTCCAGCTGGAGCCTGGTGTGCCGGGAGAAGGGGACCTGGTTCCTGGCCGGAATCAGAGGCTTCTCTGGTGGCTGTCTCCGTCCTCGAGTCTTCTCCCCGCTGCAGACGCACGGCCCCTGGATCAGCCACGTGACGCGGGGAGCCTACCTGGAGGACCAGCTAGCCTGGGACTGGGGCCCCGAGGGCGAGGTCACTGAGCCACAGACCTGTCCCCCTCACACAGAGCGCGGTGGTGAGCAGGGGCCCTGGGGGTTTAGGACTTCCTGGGGACGCTCACAGCCGGGGAGGAGCTTCAGAGCTCCCCGGTGCTGCGGGGCTCTCACTGTCATCTGTCCCTAGCCTGCGGCCTGCGGCCAGAGTCTGCTCCAGCTGGGGTGCTTTGGCCCTGGCTGGCAGAGGTACATGTGGCTGGTGACCGAGTCTGCACTGGGATCCTTGTGGCCCCAGGCTGGGTCCTGGCAGCCACCCACTGTATCCTCAGGTGGGTCCCTCTCATCGCCTAGGCCAGAGGCTGGTGGGGGGATGGGAGATGCTCGGAAGGATGCTTACGAGAGAGAGATGTCCTCCTTTGAGGCTGCTGCAGCACAAGAAGACTGCTGGGAGATGCTCCTGTGGGTTTGATTTGGGGCTTTTTGTTTGAGGTGTTTTCAGACAGGAAGATTTGGAGGAGGAACCGTGAAGGAGTTAGTGGCTTGACCCTAGAGACCCACTGTACCCTTCGCCCTGGGCGGGGCAGGCTTTCCCAGCCACGGGAGGAGCTGGGGGTGACGCTGGTCCTTGTTCCCACAGAGCGGGCTCTACAACAGTGCCTTACGTTGAAGTCTATTTGGGCAGGGCAGGGGCCAGCCCCGTCCCACAGGGCCAGCAGGTGTCCCGCTTGGTCATCAGCATCCGCCTGCCCCGGCACGTGGGACTTGGGCCCCCCCTGGTCCTGCTGGAGCTGAGCTCCCGGGTGGAGCCTTCGCCGTCTGCCCTCCCCGTCTGCCTCCACCCCGGGGGCGTCCCCCCAGGGGCCAGCTGCTGGGTGCTGGGCTGGAAGGACCCTCAGGACCGAGGTGAGCGCCCTGAGCCCTGGGAATGAGGAGTAACTGGAAGCCAGAACCCTGGGCGACCCTGTTCCCTCTCTCTAGTCCCTGTCGCCGCGCCTGTCACCATCCTGACACCACGACTCTGTCACTGCCTGTACCAGGGCATTCTGCCTCCTGGGACCCTCTGTGTCCTCTATGCAGAGGGCCAAGAGGACAAGTGTGAGGTAGGCCGGGGCCGGAATTCCTGGGGTTGGGCTCCGCTGGGAAGACGCAGTCCGTCTCCACTGGACCTTGCAGAGACCAGGGCCCCGGCCGCCTCCCGGGAGAAGGGCAGTGTCCCGGGAGGCAGGTGCGGGGAGGCAGAGGGAAGGGTGACACCATTTGCTCTTGGCTGCAACTCCGCAGGTGACCTCGGCACCACCCCTCCTGTGCCAGACTGAGGGAGGCTCCTGGGTCCTCACGGGCCTGGCTGTCCGGGGGAGCCGGGAGCTGTTTGCAGCCATTGGCCCAGAAGAGGCCTGGATCTCCCAGACAGTCGGAGAGGCCCACTTCCTGCCCCCCAGTGGCCCGCCCTACTGGCTCACGGAAGGCAGTGACCTGTGTCCCCCAGACCTGGCGGGGGCCTCGGGCGCCCCCGGAGCTGCCGCTCTGTTCCTGCTGCTCCTGCCTCCCCTGATCCAGGGCTGGTGAGCCCGCCTCCCACAGCCACGTCTTCCCTGCCGCCGCCAGCAGGGCAGGAATGTGGCTGGACCAGCCAGCTGCAGGCTCGTGGGGCGCCCATGCATCCACCGAGCACCTCACCTGGACTGCCGCCTCCCGTGATTGGGCCTCAGTGCTGGCTATTTTGGGCCCAGGAATCCTCGGGGAGGAGGCGCAGATAATAAAGGCGTAAACACAGACACGTGGCCGTGTGTGGCATTGCTGGGGGCGGGCGAAGGGGCAAACCTCTGAGCGGAGGGGGAAGCGGAGGACCGGGCCCTCCCTCTTGGGGCGCTGTGAGTCAGGCCTTGGGCTCCCGGGAAATGTGTCCCGGATAACGTGGCGGCTCTGTTCTCTCATTCTTGCCCTAGGGCGGGGAGGTGAGGGGCCAGCTGGCTGTGTGTCACCTGCCCAGTGCACTTCGTGTCCCCAGCACCTGCCGCATACTTCAGCTCTAGCTCACGCCCTGCTGCCCCTCCCACTAGAGCAGGGAGGACTTGGGGTGAGAGCTGGCCCCCAAATACGCATCCCAGGAACGCTGCCCCACAGCCCACCCCGGAGTCCCCAGCGCGCACACGGGCCCCTCACACCCTCTGAGGGGCTGCCTCCCCCACCGACGCGTGCGTCTCCCCGCGCTGAACCACAGAGGCATGCGCAGTGGCCGTCTCCTGGGAACCGTGGGAAACACGGACGTCCCGGCTAGGGGGATGGGGACAGGTCGTAGTGGGTGAGGTTTGAGCACAGGAAATGGGGAAACGGGGCCCTGGACAGGGGCGGAGGTGGCCACTGTGTGTGGTCATGGCGGGGAGCTGCTGAGGGAGCTGGAGCCACAGTCTTCGGGCTGAGCAGGCAGGCGGTGGGGAGGCAGCCGGGAGGGAAACGGGGGACCTCACGGGGCCAGGTGGAGGCCGGAGATTCTTGAAGGGCTGCTGTCTACACACAGAATGTTCCCCAGATCCTCCACAGGGAAGCACGTCCACACCGGCCGGCCGTACCCAGCCAGCCACCCATGTGCCACCCCCACAGACACGGGCAGTGCCCACCCTCTACCCACGCCCTCCCACAACTCCCTGGGTCTTGCTTAGACCCCTTCTTGAGCCGGGGATGTAGCTCAGGGGCACAGTGCTGCCCTGGCAAGCATGAGGTCATGAGTTCAATTCCCGGTACCGAAAAACAAAAACAAAACAGACCCCTTCTTGAGCCGGCCCCTTCCACTGGCCCACTGCAGGATCGCCTGACCCCCGGTCCAGGCCGGAAGTCCTGGCTCAAAGGTCCAGATGCCCGGTGTTCTGGAATGACAGCGGGGAGTGCCACAGAGCCACGCGTGCAGAGCACACATCAGACCCTCACCAAGTGGCAAGGCCCTCTCACCCTCCGCCCACCGCCATTCCCATCTCTGCCTTAACCCAGCATAGCCCCTCTAAAGCCGGGCACGGAAGCTCACGCCTGTGATCCCAGCACTCTTGATGCTGAGGCAGGAGGATAGCAAGTTAGACCCCAGCCTGGACAACTCAGTGACCTAGCAAGACCTGTCTCAAAATAAAAGATTAAAAAAGGGCCAGGGATGTAGCTCGGTGTGAATGAAGGCCCTGGGTTCAATCCCTGGTACCACAAAAACAGCCTCAGTTCTTGAGGCTCTTCCTTGAAGGCCTCCCCAGTTCCTAGGCACTTGCCCCAGAGCTCTCCCTCTTGTCCATCAGGTGAGTTTGAAGTAATTCTACAATTGGCTGTGATTTTTTTCTTTATTTTTTGAGACAGACTCTGGCTAGCTGAGACTGTGTAGTAGAGACCAGCCTTGAACTCACTATGTGGCCCAGGTTGGCCTTGAACATGAGGCAATCCTCCTGCCTCAGCCTCCCGAGTGCTGGGGTGATAGGCACGTGCCACCGTCCCAGCAGCTGTGAGTTGGTGATTCACATCTGTCATCACTACTCCAGGAAGTCACGGATGGAATCTATTCTGTACCTCGTGCCTGCGATACAGCAGACAGTAAATACTGGGCACCGCCAGCCGTGCTCTGCACCCGTGGTGGAGGCTGCAGATTTCACAGAAAGGCCTGGAATGGTGCTGGCCTGGGTAGCTCCCGGTGTCCTGGGCTCAGTTACCTGGCGTAAGGAGGGAGGCAGGAAAGAGCAGCGGCCCGGGACAACAAAGGTTGGGCCAGCCCTTCCCTGGCAGGCATAACTGGTCTGGGAGACCTGAAATACCTGGAGACGGTGGGGTTTCCAGCAGGCCTGGGGCTGCTGCTCTCTGGCTGGCCGGCCTCCGCCCCACTCCCCCAGGACCTGAGAGGACTCCGGACTCGGGAGGCTGGGAAAGGCTGCAGCGCTGAGCCAGGAGGGCGGGGCCGAGGGAGGAGCCGGCAGGTGGGTGCCCTTCTCCCTGCCGCCACCAGGAACACGGCCACACAGGTAGCTGAAGACACTCATCGTCTCCCACGGCGGCAGCTCCTAGGCTCCGAAACCATTCTTGGACACCTGCTCTACCTTACCGGCAGGAATTCTGGGATTCCTCACCTCTGAGCCAACACCTGGATCCCGCCTTTGGCACCAGGCCTAGGACCCATCCTTCCCTTTTGTGCCTGGTCCCCCCCAGTGGCTGCTGTCCCGGGCCATGGCCCACAGGCGGGGCCTGGGGCCTGGGCAGCTGCAAGCTGTGGCCGCCTTACTCTTCCTTGGACTAATCCGGCTGGGAATGGGTGAGTACCTGTGAACAGGGAAGAGGGAGTTTGGGGAAGGGTCACGCTCTAGAAGGTGCAGGCATAATCCTCTGGGGCATGTCCCTTGTCAGGAGTTCAAGAATCCCCTGGCCTTTGTAATCCCAGCAATTTGGGAGGCTGAGGCAGGTGGATTGCAACTTTGAGGCCAGCTCAGACCCCTTAGGAGACCCTAGGTCAGAATAAGAAAGGGCTAGAGATATAGCTCAGCATTCTCTGGTTCCATCCCCAGCACCAGGAAAAAGGTCTCCTGGCCTCTCTAGCACTCAGGGTCTCTCTCTTTGGCACAGCTCCTCCTCTGTGCTGTGTGTGGGTGCGTGTGTGTGCGTGTGTGTGCGTGTGTGTGTGCGTGTGTGTGTGTTTGCACTCGCGCGCACAGGTGCTCTTGCATGTAGGAAGGGTGGTTTTGGGGAACTGGGGCTCCCTGTTACCCTCCCTCTTCCCCTCTCTCTAGGACCTGATAGAGCTGAAGGGGAGGTTACTGGGGAAATGGAAGCGAGAAAGCGGAGGAGCAGACGGGAGCTGGAGTGCCCTGGTGGGCTTAAGGAGCCCTTGCCCCTGTGCTGGCCTCTTGCCCACCCACGTTCTCTTGCCTCCCAGTTGCTCTGTGAGTGGGGAACTAGGCCTTCGCTTTACAGACAAAGACACTGACGCCAGTCTGGGTAACTTCTTGATATCTCAAAAAAAAATTTTTTTTCGTCTTTTTGAGACAGGGTCTCGCTGTGCAGTTCAGGCTGGCCTTGAGCTCACTTTGTAGCCTAGGCTGGTCTCGAACGTGCAAGGATCTTCCTGTCTCAGCCTCCTGAATGCTGACATTACAGGTGCTCAGCTAAGATCTCAAAATTTTATTTTATTAATTTATTTATTTATTCTGTCTGTTTGAGACAAGGTCTCGCTATGCAGTTCAGGCTGGCCTTGAGCTCACTTTGTAGCCCACGCTGGTCTCGAACTTGGAATGATCCTCCTGCCTCAGCCTCCCGAGCGCTGGGATTACAGGCTTGTGCCACCACGCTCGGCCTGAGAGCTCAAAATTTTAAAAGGTCTGGGAGCATAGCACAGCGGTAGAGCACTAGATTGGGTGCCACAAGAGAAAGAAACCGAGGTGCGGGGAAGCAGACTTGTCCAAAGACAAGCAGCCAGTCAGCGGTGGCGGCGGGTTTAAGCTACACCTGACTCCCAAAGAGCAGCGCCTGAGGTCAGTGAGAGAAATAAGCCCAGGGTCTCTCCTCCGCAGGCACCTGACCTGGCTCTGCGTCACCATTTACAGGCCACATTCCTCACCCTCCCGAGCCCCCTTGCTTCACCTCTACCACCTCCTGGGGCAGTAGTGAGGATACTAAAGATAAAGGAAGTGAAAGCCCGGCTGGTCTGTCCTGCTGGAACACTCACTAAATAGCAGCTATTGTCCTGAATGCGGGGAGTGGAGGAGACTGGAGGAAGGTGACCTGGGAAGGGCGGCTGGCTTCGTGGGGGCGGGGCTGTCCAGGAAACTAACCCTTCCTGCCGCGGTCCATCTGCTCATCCACATCCACTGCTCCTTCTGCGCTGGGCGCTGGGAACCTGAGAATGTCCCGGGTGAACACCAGCGACAGTCGTAGATATAGGAACAGCCGTGACCAGATGTGGTGGCGCACGCCTGTAATCCCAGCACTCGGGAGGCTGAGGCAGGAGGATTGTTGCGAGTTTGAGACCAGCCTGGGGTACAAGGTGGGCTCAAGGCCAGCCTGAACTGCATAGCGAGACCCTGTCTCAAAAAGACGAAGAACAACAAGGACAACAACAGCTGTGAGCTGGGACAGGGGCAGGGCAAGTGGGGCCCTGGGCACCCGGAGGCCACGCCTGGGGCAGACAGCAGGGCCGGCACAGGCTGCAGAGGGGCTGTGCTCTAACGTTCTCCGCAGCCAAACGCGTGCGCACCAGCCTTTCTGCCCGGAGTTGACCCGGGCGCCCATCCCCGTGCACACAGCCAAGGGCCAGAGGCAAACAGCGCACAGCCAGAGTATGGGACCGGAAGTGCCCAGGAGGGTGGCTGGAGGAAGGGCAGACCCACGGGGCCTGGCATGTGTCCTGAGGCCCGTGTGGAGCCCTGGAAGGTTTATCGAGCAGAAGGCAGGGAGGAGGCCGTCCCGAGACTGACTTAGGTAATGAGCAGTGGACAGCAAGGGGCGGAGAGCTCGATGCCCGGTGAGCCGGGAATGCGGGCAAAGGGCAGGCTGAGGACCCACGGCCCCGGCTCTAAACCAGGTCTCCTGGGGCACGGCAGGGCGGCAGGGCTAAGGAGCTGGTTGGTGCGGGGACCTGGAGAAGCTGAGCCCTTTCCCTCCCTCCCTGGGCAGCACAATGCGGCACAGTCTTCCAGCCCCGCATCACAGGAGGCAACAACGCGGCCCCTGGCCAGTGGCCCTGGCAGGTCAGCATCATCTACGTCCAAGAGCACGTGTGCGGCGGCTCTCTCGTGTCTGAGGAGTGGGTGCTGTCGGCTGCTCACTGCTTCCCCAGGTACAGGCTGGGTGAGGAGCGGGGAAGGAGGGAGTCAAAAGTGGGCTGGAGGTCAAAGCTGATACGTCAATCCCAAGTCAGAGGTTGGGGGTTTTGCTGGGCGTGGTGGCACACGCCTGTCATCCCAGCACTCGGGAGGCTGAGGCAGGAGGATCATTGTGGTTTGAGACCAGCCTGGGCTACAAAGTGAGCTCAAGGTCAGCCTGAAATACATAGTGAGATCCTGGCTCAAAAAGACAGACAGACAGACAGACAGACACACACACACACACACACACACACACACACAAAGGTTAAAAAAAGCCCTTCATTTCCAGTCCTGCCTGGGGGTGTGGGTGGGGGATAGAACAAGCTGAGAAGATGCCCACCCCTTCCAGGAAGAGCCCGGTGGAAGCTGGAGGGCAGGGCAAGTGAGAGGCGGCCTTTGCCCTCCTGCCCAGCCTCCTCCTCAGCCTGCGTTAACTGCTAAGAAGTTTTACAAGCAGAGAAATGTGGGAGTGGGAGGTCAAAGGTTGCCTTCTACACATCTTGCCTCCGACTGTTCCGCTGTTTGGCTGTTCAGCTGTTCATGCCCCTCCGCTCTTGGGTCCCGCCCCGGGGCTCCCAGGGGAAACAGGCAGGCTGTCCAGGAGGCTCGCCTGGCTTGGCCCCCCGGGTCACACGGCGCAGCCCCCTGGCAGCTTCGTTCATGCTGCTTGTGAGATAGCGGAGCAGTCAGGGACACTACAGAGTGCAGACTGGTTTGAAGAGAATCAGCAAAGTGAGTGCAGTGTGGTAGCACACATCTGCAATTCTAGCACTCTGGGAGGCTGAGGCAGAAGGATCACAAATTCCGGCCTAGCCTTGGGCAACTTAGTAAGACCTTGACTCAGAACAAAAATAAAAAGTAAAAAAAAACACAGCTGGGGACATGGCTCAGTGCAAAGGCCCTGGGTTCAATCCCCAGTATCACAAGACAACAACAGCAACAGCACGGCTTGTCTGAAAGGACTACTGAGGGCCGGGGATATAGCTCAGTGGCACAAGTGCCTGCCTGGCAGGTGCAAGGTCCTGGGTTTGATTCCCGGTACCAAAAAGAAAGGACTATTGAGAAGTGGAGGTGAGGGCCTGGAGCAGAGGTTAAGGATAAAATTAGATATTGAGCCCAGCCAGGGGTGGGGATATACACCTAAAATCCCAACACTGGGAGGCTGAGGCAGGAGGATTACCAAAGCCAGTCTGAACTACACAGTGAGACCATTTCAAAAAACTAAAACCAGCTGGGCGTGGTGGCACAGGCCTATAATCCCAGCACTCGGGAGGCTGAGGCAGGAAGATCCTTGAGAGTTTGAGACCAGCCTGGGCTACAAAGTGACCTCAAGGCCAGCCTAAACTGCACAGGGAGACCCTGTCTCAAAAAGACAAAACAAAACTAGGCTGTCAAGGTGCCACCTGGGACTGGTATGCCTTAAGGCAGCAGGGATCAGAGAACAAGGAAAGGTCTCCAGGGTCCCAGCCTTTACCCCTCTGCCTGCAGTGACCACCACAAGGAAGACTACGAGGTGCGCCTGGGCGCCCACCAGCTGGAGTCCTTCACTGCAGATGATATGGTCCGCAATGTGGCCGAGATCATCTCCTACCCCACCTACCGGGAGGAGGGCTCCGAGGGCGACATCGCACTCGTCCGCCTCAGCAGCCCCGTCCCTTTCTCCCGCTCCATCAGGCCCATCTGCCTCCCTGCAGCCAACGCTTCCTTCCCCAATGGCCTCAAATGCACAGTCACTGGCTGGGGCCATGTGGCGCCCTCAGGTGAGGGGGTGCCGGGTGCTTTGCAGGAGGGAGCCCGACTTGGGGTACGAGGCCTTCGGTAAGCATCTTCTGTCCCCACAGTGAGCCTTTCGGCCCCCAAGACGTTACAGCAACTCGAGGTGCCACTGATCAGCCGCGAGACCTGCAACTGCCTGTACAACATCGACGCCAAGCCCGAGGAGCCACACACCATCCAGCGGGACATGGTGTGCGCCGGCTACGTGCCGGGCGGCAAGGATGCCTGCCAGGTGGGCACGGCGGCCGGGACAGCGGAGCGGCAGCTCAGGAGGCGGGGCCGGGTGGGGTGGCCAGAGGCCTGGGCTGGGTCCTAGCCGCCGCATCGCTTTTCTCCTCAGGGTGACTCGGGGGGCCCGCTCTCCTGCCCTGTGGAGGATGTCTGGTACCTGGCGGGCATCGTGAGCTGGGGCGATGCCTGCGGGGCCCCCAACAGACCAGGTGTGTATACTCTGACTTCCAGCTACGCCTCCTGGATCCAAGAGCAAGTAACACAACTCAAGACTCATGTCGTGCCCCAAACGCAGGAGTCCCAGCCCGACGGGTACCTCTGCAGCAAGTCTCTGGCCTTCAACTGCGGCCCCGGGCAGGGCTTGCTGCGGCCCATCCTGCTGCTGCCGCTGAGCCTGGCCCTGGGGCCTCTCCTGCTCTCGGTGCAAGCGCTGAGCTATGGGCTCTGGAACTGATCCCATGTCCGGGCCCACTCACCACGCCCAAGGATGTACCTTTTGGGCCTGGGGCACTCTGCGGAGGGTCGGGGCACCGCCCTGGTTTTTGAGCCCATTCTCCCAGATCGGCTCTTTCGAACTGTACACAGAGTCAAGGGTTTCACGGCCTGTGGCACTGGTCAGGACCACCGGCGGCCTCCACTAGCGTCGGCAGCTGACTGGTTGGGCTCCTAGGGAGCCGAAAGGACCTTCAGCTCCAAACGCAGGCCCCAGCTCCCACCTGCCTCCTCAGGGCCGCGCAGCTGCCTGGCCCGCAGCTGCTGAGAGCCTGGCTCCGAGCCCCCTGCCCTGCCTGATGAGCCGTCTCTAGGCCCCCGTCCCCTGGGCTTGCCCGCCTTGGCGATGGGACAGGCCTCGGTCCTGCCCCACTGGCCACCAAGGCCCCTTGATTTCTGACTCCCAGCATCCGGAGGACTGAGCCCCCGCCGGGACTCAGCTGGGGGCTCGGACGGGGGCGGGGACTAAGAGCTCGAGAAGGAGTGAAATGTTCTGAGCACAGCTGGCTGGCGAAATGAAACGCAGAACGCCAGCTCTTGGTCTGTCCCTCCCACCTCTGCAGTGCTGCGCCACCAGCACAATTTACTTTATTAAAAAATGACAAAGGAGGTCTGTACATATTTACAGCGAGGAGCACAGAGGCACGTCGGGCGGCAGGGGCGCGGCCTGCTCACTTCTTGGAGAGCTTGACTTGCTTGTGCTTGGGGGGCGCCCACTTGAGGCACACGGAGTCCACTGTGGAGAGAAGAGACAGGAGTGGCAGGCCGGGCCTCCGGGCCAGGCGGGCCCACGCGCCCAGCTCCTCTCTGCGCCCAGCCTAGGCGAGAAGGGACAAAAGGGCAGCCCGAGTGTTCGGGGGGCGGGCAGGGAAGTTCCAGGGCTGAGTAGCCTGCCCTGGGCTTCATCCCAGGAGCTGGTCCGACTGGTTGGGGATCATGTGACAGCAGTAAGGCGGCCTTGGCTGCAGCAGCCTTCACACCCCGCCCCCCAACACACAGCCCTCCCCCACCCACCTGTGATGGGTGGCTTCTTGTACTGCGCACTTTTGAGGTGTTCCTCCACGAGCTTGGGTGTGACACAGATCACGTGCTGGCCCTTCCAATACTTCACCATATTGAGGGACTGCAGAGTACTGATGATGTCATTCTGGGTGATGCTGGTCATCTGGCTGCGGAAAGGGATTAGAGCAGATGCCACAGACAGACCCCCTTCCATTGAGATTCCAGGATGCCTCTCTCAAAGGGTCCTTGGTCTTTTTGAGACAGAGTCTCGCTATGCAGTTCAGGCTGGCCTTGAGCTCACTTCGTAGCCCAGGCTGGTCTTGAACTCACAACAATCCTCCTGCCTCAGCCTCCCGAGTGCTGGGATGACAGGCACGCACCACCACGCCCACCTCTCAAAGGGTCCTTGGTGAACAGCGTGCCCCGCGTGTGGTGGGGGTCGTGGCCCTCACCTCAAGTCCTTGATGGACAATGTGCCCCGGAAGTCTCGCAGGATCTCCAGCAGGACCCATGACCAATAGCTGCGGTAGCTGAGTTTGCCCAGGTCAGACAGTGGCTTCTCTGGGGAGCCTACTGTGCTCTCTAGCTTGGACAGCTCATAGCCTGGCAGGGACAGAAAGAGGACTCTGAGATCCCACCCACCCTGGCATTCCACCCCCAACTGTCCCCACCACCACAGCTGCCCTTTCCTGGACAGGGTGGGGACTACTCACTGAAAGCTATGAGAAACTTCCCGTAGCCTCGGCGCTGGTAGGGGGGCAGGGTGAGAATGCAGGCCACATTGTTTCCATCCGGAGACTCCTTTTCCTGAAGGGTGCAGGTGCTCAGGACACTGGGAGGCTCAGCCCCTACTCATTTATCCCCCTCCCCCTCCCCCAAGGTGGGCTCCCTGACCAGCACCTTAGAGAAGTAGCCCACGATGTGGGCCCCTTGCCTGTCCACTTCCGTCAAGATGTAAAAGACGAAGGGCTCCACGTCAAAGTACAATGTCTTGTGATCCAGGAAAAGCTTGGCAAGCAGACACAGGTTCTGACAATAAATCTGAGTGGGGAGGTGGAAACAGGCTCAGAAAGCAATTATGATGCCCCACCCAGCCTGGCCATGAGAGGCCACCCTGCTTCTCTGCAAGCGCCAGGGTCCAACGAGCAGCCAGTGTCTGGCCAGCAGGAAGTGGGACCCTCACCAGAGCAGCAGTACCCAGCCCTGAAAAGAGTCTGAAGAGTCAATTTCTGACGGACAAAAAGCTGACGGTAGGCCAGGTACGGTGGCACACACCTGTAATCCCAGCACTTGGGAGGCTGAGGCAGGAGGATCCTCGCGAGTTCGAGACCAGCCTGGGTTACAAAGTAAGCTCAGGCCAGCCTGAACTGAATAGCAAGACCCTGTCTCAAAAAGA